CAAGTAATCCAAAGTATTCAGATTACATTACTCACTTTAAGTAATTTAATGGATTATGTCACAAACTACATTCTGGGGTATGTAATCTGTCATCTGTAGGGGATTACATTTTAAAAATCACCTTCCCAACACTGGCCGCCACATATTCCATGTCGTATTTATCTGTCCCTAATGACATTATGGCTAAAAAAAATAAATACATTTTGCGTAACACCCGCTCTTGAATCTCTGTTGTTTAAATCTGAGCTGGGGACAGGTTCAAATTCTGTGGTAGAATTTGGTTTTTAACTTTGAGACTCCAGATGTTTAGCTCTGGTTTATGTTCAATGTTTCTATAATTACTGGACCGATCCAAATAAAACAATTCAGTAACAATTTTAAAACAAAAAGTATGTAAATGAATAAATAAATGAATAAATAATCAAATACATACATACAGACGTACATAAAAATGTAAATGTCTTTATTTACTGTGATTTACTTGCAAGTATTAAGATAAAAAAAAGTTAAATTATTAAAATATTTGTCACATTTTTTCTAACTAATAAACTCATTAGCATATTGTCACAGGAATCAGATCTTGATTTGGATTTGATTGACCTTTTTATCAACTTAATAACTTTAAATATATGTGTGTGTGTGTGTGCGTGCGTGTGTGTATATATATATATATATATATATATATACACATAGTGTTGGGAGTAACGCATTATAAAAGTAATGTATTACAGTAATGCGTTGATTTTTGCTGTAACGCAGTAATGTAAGGCATTACAGGGGAAAAAATTGTAATATTTTACTCGGTACAAATGTGAGTAACGCGCGTTACAATGCTTTTTTAACCTGGATTGAAGTGGTGGGTTTTTCTTCATAGAAATTCGCTAAAATCTCCATGAAATCAGCAGCGGTGAAACGCCAGAGACGCGGCCGGACAGACCTTCAGTTAACCGCGGGCGAAAGGACCAACCCGCTGTTTAGACCTGGTTTAGACCTGACTCACTTCTGGTTTAGACCTGGTTTGCAGTCGTCCCTCGCTCTAACGCGGTTCACTTTTCGCGGTCTCGCTGTTTCGCTGTTTGTTTGTTTTTTGTTTTGTTTTGTGCAATTTTGCATGCCTTTTGTTTTTAGTGTATGAACACGTATTGCGTTCCTCCCGCTGTGTCCTGATCGGCTGAGGGACTCCTGTCTCCTCTACAGTACAGAATGTGTTCAGCTGCCAAATTTAAATAAATGTTCAATCTGTAGCAGTGTGATTCTGAAGTGCTGTATGTCTCCGACAAAATCCACAACGTCGACGAAACGTTCTGCACCGACAAAGGCTCCTGCGCTCACACCCAAAAGACAGAGGACGATGCAAACCATCACACAAAAAGTTGGACTTCTGGACACGTTGAAGGAAGGTAGAAGTTATGCGATGTAGCAGAATCTTGCACCGGGTCTTGTACCCGCAAATAGTTGCTGAAATTAGGACCGCGAGCCCGAGCAGCAGGATCCATAAAGAGCGATCAGGCGACAGCCGCTCTTACCTCCATGAGGTGCGGAGCAGAGCCGCTCCTTTCTCCTGCGGTCACCTTCGAGCCTGTCCTGACAGTGAGTCCTGTTTTAGTCCTAGTTCAGTTCTGGTTTAGTTCTCCTCTTCAGTCCTGGAATCAGTCTGAGGTTAGTCCTGTTATAGTCCTGGTTTAGTCCTGGTTCAGCTCTGGTTTAGTCCTGGTTTAGACCTTGTTTAGTCCTGGTTCAGTCCATATACGGCTCAAAAGTTCAGCTTTTTCGCAGTTATTTTGGTGAGAGTAACTTAAAGTAATGCAATAGTAATGCCTTACATTTTAAATGCAGTAATATTGTAATGTAACGAATTACTTTGAAATGACACTAATAAGCAATAAATAACACATTACAGTTTTAAAGTAACTTGCCCAACAGTGTATATACTGTATGTATATACTGTATGTATGTGTGTATATATATATATATATATATATATATATATATATATATATATATATATCCTATGTATCTTATACAAGCTTTTATACTTATCGCTCTAGCTCTCACGTTGGCTCTCTCGCGTCGCGGTGGTCTGCGCATGTAAACACTGCCGAACAACTGCAGAAAGTGATGGATTCGTGCGCGGCTGTCACCTGGCGGCAGCGCGCAGTGATACGAATGGAAAGAAAATAGTGCCAAGCGATAATGAGGTCTGACTTTTTAGGCGACGATGGTTTTGTGATGCAAATGTATCACTCTTTTGAACACATATTGTTTTGAGAAGAAAAACGCTTTATTATACAGTCCCAAGCCAACTTGCCGGACTACTTTCATCAGCACCGAAAACGGCCAGTATCTCGGCTCACCGGACGCTGTCAGGGGTAAGTCAGTGTTGATGCATGACACTGCTCACGGGGATGCCATACAGATTTATGTCAAAAATCCCGAACTATCCCTTTAAGACTACTTTTACAACCAGCTTGTGCACTCGGCTCCATGACCTCACGTCACGGACCAGTTTCATCCCTTAATATTGGACAATACACTTTTGGAGACAGAACCAGTGGGACAACGGATAGAGGAAATACTCTGCTTCAGTCTCTGGAGAAGATAAGAGGCTTGTTTTCATTAGTTTGTGGCAAATCTGAACATGAAGCCTCACAGGTAAATAGTGTTATAGAGTTAATAGTTTAATAGTGTTATAGTGTTAATAGTTAAATAGTGCGTAAATGAGCTGGCGGGTGCGATGGAGCTGCTCTGGTTGTTCTGTCGTGTGCTGTAGGAGCGGCATCTGTGTTCATGTTGTGATCGTAGCCTCTTATTGTAGTTTTATTGACGTTGTTGGGTCTGGGTGTGAGCGGCGTGTTACGTTGTGTTGTTGCGTAAAGTTTGCGCTTGGCTGTTCATTGTGCTCTGCTCGATATTATTCAGCCAATAGTAACCAAAATGTCTGTTTTTGGTATTTGTTATAATACTATAGACTATATACATATATAAAATACGTATATTATTCATAATATATATTTATCATTTTGGCCTTAGTGCCCCTCCCAAAAATTATACCACCAGCCGCCACTGGTCCTTTTTTAGTCCTGTTTTAGTCCTGGTTTAGTCCCGGTTCCTCAAGTCTCTTTAGGACAGTACTGGACGGCGTACCCCCCGTACCACGCCCACTATAGCCCTGGTGCTGCCCGAGGTGTGGCTATTTCTTGCCTGATTGCTTCTTTCAGTGATGTTGTTTGGGGTGTTTTTGACGAGAGGCTGTTGTTTAATGTTTACAACCAGTGGCAGACTGTTAGAGAATTTTTATGTTATAAGCATTTCTCATGTAAAGGTAATCATGATGTAGTATAAGTTATCAACATTGGCTTTTTGTTTTACTTGTCTTGTTGCGTTCAAGCTGTATCAGGTGATCTTGCTGATGCTTCAGCTGACTCATTAAAGATAATGTACCGGGAGAAACAAATAGTAATGGTAAACATCATGAGGTTAACACAGAACTCTGGGGAATTGCTAGAGGCTCTACCATCTGGAATATGAAATCTGTGTATAATGGGGGCTGTGTCAGTGGAAGCTTGTCAGTCATGAGACAACATGTGAACAATAGGTACTGTATTCAAAGTAACCTACTTTATGCTAATTGTGTGCTCTACAATAAAAGGCTGATGGAGAGAAGAGAGCTTCAGTTAGGATGAGACAGGCAGCTCTCTCCTACTCCTTGCGCAAGTAAAACCAACCACTGTGTCCCTGGCGTGTTCTTTAATATTTGAGGTCGGGGTCAATTCCCTGACACAGACCTTATTGTTTTTTAATAAACCTCAACCTTTTATTATTGTCTTGTGTGTGTATCGTCTACCACACAGCCTCAACAACTATTGCAGCTAATAATAATAATATTAATAAAATAATGACTCCACCGCATTAAAATATTTCTCAAATGGCAGTGCCCCCCTGCTGGTGACCCACATCCCTCCAGTAGATGTGCTCTGACACCGACTCTGCCTATGAGGCAATCCTCGAAAGTTGTCATGGCCTATTTTTACTTTTACTTTTTGGCAAATAATAACACAAATCTTTATCACCTGACAAGCTTGAGATCAACCAGCGACAGTCAACGCACAAGCAGAGGTGTGTAGTGCAGTTAAGAGCAGCAAAATGGCAAGTGTTAGAGTACAAAAACCTGACAGAAAGTGTCGAGTTTTCAAAGAACAGTGAACGACCGATAATTTTTTTGTTCAGTGTAAAGAGCATGCAGTTTGCCTGATATGTAAAGAACATGTGGCAGTTTTCAAATAATATAATCTGACCCAACCCCAGCCCCCATCACAGTCAGGAACGATAATGTGGTCCCCAGAGAAAAAAAGTTTTAAGGATTCAGGAACTGCTTTGTTTTGAATTGGAGGTCAGTTTAGTGACCTTGTGTTACGTATTATTTAAGAAGATTTTAATGCAAAGATAAAAATCATAAACACACTGGTAGGAGACTGAAAGCCTTTATAAAATAATAATTTAACTTTCCAACACACTGTTACTATAAAAATCCACTGATTAACTTTAACACATGTCAGAATAGTCAGATTTCTATTGTGCAAGTAACACACACCAAAAATCAGACCTAATTATTCCTAAATGATCAGATTTTCCATGTAAATGTAGGTTAACTTTGGCTGTATTCTTTAAAATATGTTCACAAACGCTCACATTAAAAAAGTTGTAAATGTCCAAACACGGTAAAGGCACACTGTGTAACTTTTCTGGAGCAGGGTATACCAGTTGCCATTACTGAATATTCTGCAGTATGGCATTAAACACATCTATCTGGGGATTGCAGTTGATCTCATAAATGTTTTGCAATTGGTGGACCCTCAGTAGAAAAGTTACATAGTGCCCCTTTAATGTGTGTACAGAAAACAGTTGTGATACAGAATGCTTCAGGGCGAGCATCGATAGAGTGTATTGTAATAGTTGGACTCCGGGCCCCTGGTTGTGGTGGTTTTGCTTGGGGCCCCTCCTCAACAGAGCAAAGACAGATCGCTCTTCCTGCAGCCCATCGTGCAGCACACGGACGTCAGGATGCTGTTCATGTCCCTCCTCCTCAGCTCCATCCTGGGGCCCCACGTGCCCGCAGACTCCTCACTCAGGGACCCATCTGTGAGGGGACAAAACAAGTAAGTACAGATAAAAGTGTGTGAGGAGGAGCATGGGCGTCCGACTGGAGGGGGGTAAAGAGTACAGTTTACAAAGGGCCCAGTGCAAGAAGGGGCCACTCACAAAGTTTGGAATGTGCATTTTCCATCAGACAACATGCATACATCATTTATAGTGATGTGTTGTACAGATGGACTGCTGAATTATTATGTTTGTTTCACTGTTGCCGAAATTAGAATTTTCTATGGGATCAATAAAGTATCTGTCTATCTATCTATCTATCTATATCTATCTCGCTGTATCTCTCTCTATCCATCTAGCTATCCATCTATCATCCATCTAGCTATCCATCCATCCATCCATTCATCTATCTATCTATCTATCTATCTATCTATCTTATCTATCTAATCTATCTAATCTATTTTATCTATCTAATCTATCTATTTCTATCTCACTCTATCTCCATCTATCTTTCTATCTATCTATCTGTCTGTCAGTTCGTCCGTCATCGTCCGTCCATCCGTCCGTCTGTCTGTCTATCTATCTATCTATTTCTATCTCGCTCTATCTCCATCTGTCCATCTATCTATCTATCCATCTATCCATTTGTGGCCATACCGGCTTGTAAAAGGAGGAGGGGCTGATGGCGCAGATTGGCAGCCTCGCTTCTGTCAGTCTGCCCCAGGGCAGCTGTGGCTACAGTAGTAGCTTACCACCACTGAGTGTGGAGAGACTGAATAATGAACTGTAAAGCGCTTTGGGTATCTTGAAAGGTGCAATATTCATTAATTCATTCATCTATCATCTATCTATTTCTATCTCAGTCCATCTATCTATCTATCCATCCATCCATCCATCTATCTATCATCCATCCATCCATCCATCCATCCATCTATCTATCTCTCTAAAAAAAAAAAAAAAACACATGTGAACCATGTGATTATGTAAAACAATTGGGGTAGGACTCCATAAGCTTTTTAAACTTCATCCTACTTCTTTTGAGCACCAGGTCCCAAATATGTCATGTATATATCACTATTTTTGTTATTGTTTTTGAATTTTGTTGTACCTGGCTCAAACAAAGAAATAAATGAAAATGAAATCTATCTGTCTATCTGTCTATCTATCTATCTAATAAGGCATTATTCAATTTTGTTACTTAAGTAAAAGTACAGATACAAATGTAAAAAGGTACTCAAGTAAAAGTAACACATGAAAAAAAATGTAAGCAAAAGTATTACATTCAAGTATTTTGCAAAAGTAAATTATTTTCTTTTAATTCCAAAGTACTGTATTTTATAGTATTTTATTTTATTTTATAGTATTTTTTAGTATTTTAAAAGTATAAAAAAGTAAACTTTTTTTTTTTGTATTTTATAGTATTTTTTTATATTTTAAAAGTATAAAGAAGTAAAAGTATTTAGCAAAAGTATTAAGTAAAAGTGCCTTTAAGAGTAAAAATTTAAAGTATTTTGCAGAGGGTTTTTTTAGAACAATTAAAGGATGAAATGTGATTTTGAAAAAGAATGTAGCAGATTTGAAGTGATTCAGTTGATTTGTAATTTTTCCAGCAGCTGTTGTGTATTTGGTTTGTTCAGAGTTAGGATGTGAATTCAAACACAATGGGGAAAAAAAAGAAAGTACTTTTTACTTTTCCAGATCTAAAATGTATTGGAGTAGAAAGTACAGATACATCTTGAGATACTTCTCAAATGTAGTGAAGTAAAATGATAAAGTATCCACTGTAAAATGTACACAAGTAAAGTACAGATATGTCAAATGTGTATGTAAATATTGTGTTTTGTTACCTTCCACCACTGATTCTAGGTCTCTGCACTTCTTTTTGTAGAATTCACGCAGGGTCACTAAAGATGCCTGTGTGTCTCGTGGAGATGTGAGTGATGTGAGTGATGTGTGTGTGTGTGTGTGTGTGTGTGTGCGTGTGTGTGTGTGTGTGTGTGTGTGATGGAGGATGTGTGTGACTGTGGCCTGTGCTCTTTGCTCTTTGAACACTGAGAGCGAGAGATCAAAGCTGCTTGTTTGTCTGGTCCAGAGTCACAGCTCCGTCTGATGACAAGAGCTCGTGAACAACATGAACACACTCTGCTCTCAGCAACAGAGAGAAGAGAGGAGAGGAGGGATAGAGGGAGAGGGGAAAGAGAGAAAGAGAGTGAAGATAGAGGGAGAGAGGAGAGAGAAAGGAGAGGGGGAGACAGAGGAAGAGACGAGAGAGTGAGGATAGAGGGAGAGGGAGAGAGGAGAGAGAGGGAGAGGAAAAAGAAAGGGAGGGAGAGAGAGGGGGGATAGAGGAAGAGAGAGAGACACAGAGAGAGAGAGAGAGGAAATGAGAAAGAGGGAAAGAGGAAGAGGGAGGGAGAGAGAGAGTAGAGAAAGAAAGAGAGGAAGAGAGACAGGGGAGAGAGAAAAAAGGAGAAAGAGAAAGACAAAGGGGAAGAGGAAGAAAGAGAGAAAGGGAGTGAGGAGAGAGAAGAAGAAGAGGAGAGAGAGAGAGAGAGAGAGGAGAAAGTAAAGAGAGAGAGAGGAAGAGGGAATAGAGAAAAAGAGAGAAAGAAAGAGGAAGAAAGTGAGAGGGGAGAGAGAAAAAAGAAGGAGTGAGAGGAAGAAAGAGAGAGAGGGAGCGAGTAGAGAGAAGAAGAGGAAGAGAGAGGACCCTAAAGAGAGACGGGGAGCTAGAGACAGGGGAAAAGAGAGAGGAAGAAAGAGAGAAAGGGAATGAGAAGAGAGAAGAAGAGGAAGAGAGGGAGGAGAGAAAAAAAGAGAGAAAGAAAGAAAGAAAGAAAGAGAGAGAAGAAAGAGAGGGGAGAGAGTGGGCAGAGAGAGAGAGAGCTTCTTCCTTCATTAATCTTCATACATGGTCCGGACAGCCGCTCATCTGCTGTCGTCCTTCACTGTAGCTCTAGATTTAAGTACATTAGTACATCAGATCCCGCTTCCACCCACAGTACACTTCTCAGTAGTAGTAGTACTTATTATTAACAGAATTATTTCATTTCCTTTGGCACTGCAATAATTCACCCTGCAACTGTTTGATTACAAAAACATCCAAAAGTTTCCTTAATGTATTGGTAAATCAAAAAGACTACTGCAAAGAAAAGAAACAAACAATAATACATGAAGAATAACATAAAAATAAAAACTATTGTATATTTAAAGGTGCATTGTGTAACTTTTCTGGAGACGTTATTACTTTGTCTGGAATGTTTCACAGTATGGCATTAAACCTTTCTATCTCCATAGTTAGAGTGCTTGTTTTTCTATGTATATTTGAGCTATAAAACGAGTTGTAATTGAATAAATATAAGGTAGAGCTGTTTAATATCATACTGTGGAACATTCCAGGCAAAGCAATGGCATATCCATAAAACCAAAAAGTTACACAGTTCACCTTTAAAATGATATAAGACATAATTTCGATCGTGTCTCCTCACCGTCCTCAGTGCCGCTGCGTCTCCAGCGTGAGCCTCCGCAGGTGTACACCACAGCTCTGAGGAACTCTCGTCCACACAGCTTCACCGCCTTCACCTCCTGAGCCTGCACACGGAGCAGAGCCGTGCACAGCAGCAGCAGCGCCACGGGGACCAGGGCCTTGTACATCCTGGACATGTCTACGGAGCGTTCATGAGCGGAGTGTCCCGTTAAAGACATTATATAGTCCTCCATCAGTGTCTGCGCTCATAGTCTCCTCCTCCAGCTCTGCCTCTGTCACGCAAACACTCAAATCTCATTATCAAACGAGGAGGATACAGGACAGATGACGGGGGCTCGTGTCGTAATAACGAAACACTGTCAATGAATACCATAGTTTATGATTGTTATATAAAAGTAATGTAATTTCAGTTCATGGGGCAGTCACACTTGAGTTCAATATTTTCAGAGGGATCCCCAAGCATCCCCATGTAGCCATACTGCCCTTCAAAGACAGAACGCTGTAACCTCATGTTTGATCAAAAAGGTATTTGAGACTACTCAGGCTGGCGCCACTTAGTGCCTCCGCTCAGTTTCATTTCTCTCCAGCAACTAGGTCAGGAATCAGAATACACTAGTTCATAAAAACCCCAGAAGTGCGGGCACCAGCCAATCAGCAAATCATACATTCTGTTTTGGCAACGATTCCCGAGATCGAAGTTTTAAAGCTGCAACAAAGAGAATGTTTGGTGAATTTTATCAAGGGGAAAGACATTATTTTACTTCTTCCAATGGGATTTGGGAAAAGCTTAATCTACCAGTTAGCTCCGGTAGCGGCGCATTACATACGTGACTACCAAATAACAGCGATTGGTTAAATAAAAAAGTACCCGTCTACCATCAAGCACACTGCGAGGTCAAATGAGGTCAAAGTAAAACATGATGAATCAGGTTAATTTGAGACCTCCTTCATTATCTGAATAAATATCGTGAAAAAAATTGACTTTGGAGCCTTATTTGGCAGTTACTGTACTCTGCCCATGGATATATATGGATACAAGGACACTGCCTTTGTATCAAGAGCCAAAAATAAGGAGCAGTGCAAAGGCAGTAACACTGTCAGTTACTGCCTTTATACTTTTGTCTGGACAAAACAAAAACTTTGAAGTGATTTTTCTAAGTTTCGCACTCTGTTAAGCCCTTTTGCTTTTCTAGAGGAGCATTCTAGCTCTCACTGCCCGCTTTCATCTGATCAGGGTGGCACACTTGATGAAATACAAGGTGCCACAGATGGGCAGCAGTGGCTCAGCATTCTATCATTGTGCCCATAGGCAACACACTTGCTTTTCCTCAGTCTACCCCAGCTGTGACTGCAATAGTAGATTACCTCTGAGTATGAAATGAATGACTGATGAAAGAAACTGTAAAACATCTTTGAGCATCTGAAAAAACACTAAAACAAATGAGTTGTTTAATGAAAGGCACTGGCTGTTAAATCTATTTAACAGTCTATCTAACAGTCAGTCTGCACATTTGCCAATAAAAAAATCAAGATAATTACGGCACATAATTTAATTCCTTTATTTAGACTTATATTTTAATTTGGGTGCACACATGTTAGTATACGTCTGAATTATTTACTTACACGTGTTCTTTTCTGTTTTGTTCAAGTGGCCAGACAGAGGACGCTTGGCAAAGACCATCAACGCCAAACAAAGGGGGGGAGCACAGTTTAGTTAGTTTTAATAAGTTTGTTTGTCTACTTTGTTTAAGGTCACTTTATTATCTCTTATTATTTTCTGTATTATACTTATTTGCCTTCTTGTTACTTTGATTAAGTTAGTAGTTTTAGTCAATTATTTAGTGTAATTCCCCGCTCTTGTGTTCAGTTTTAGGAGGCCCGCATGTATTTAAACACTCCTGCTCTTTGTCTGGTTGGGTTAGTTTTGTTCTGTTAAGTTTGATTTAAGTTATCCCAGTTGGGCCTGGCTTTTGTTCAGGATTTATCTAATTTGAGCCTTTGTTAATTGACTTTTTTTTTTTTTTATTTAAACTTATTTTTATACCTTGTCTTTGCCTTTCTGTTTGGTCTACTACAGTAAGTTTTAAGCCATGTTATAATAAAGCGGTGTTTTGTTTCATTCACACATGTTTGAGTAACCCTTTATTATTAGTCTGTCTACATCTCCAAAGCTCAAACTGCTCTGTTCCACCTTGTGATGTCATGAAGCGGTACTTTTCATGTTAACAGACTACTTTTTTCTTTTTTTTTGGCATTGGCAGTTTCAGGGCTAAAATAATCCAAATGATTCTAGTGAAGGTGTACAGAGTTTAAAAATAAAAATACCATGCAGCGTTTCTTATATTACCACATCACAAGACGGTGTCAGTTTGAGAGAAGAACACAGCCTTAATATGCAGCATTTGTGTGTTAAACATGTGTGAATAAAACAAAACACAACAAATATTCATGTTATTTTAGTTGACAAAAGCAAATCTAAAACATTTCTCGAATCTGCAGATCTCACAATGATCCAAATTTTGAGTCATAGTTCAACAATATTATATAAATATGATATTGTTTTAGAATCAAACTTTTGGACCATGAAAACAAAACAGTGCGTGACATGCATATTTACACTCATCCCTCCATTTTCTTGTAAAACGCTCCATCACGTCTCCTCACTACTGCATGGACGATTAAGTACTGCCTGCTCCTATCCCCACTCCAGCGTTTACCACGGCTGATGGACCATTGACTTTCACCTTTACAGCAGTCACTATTGACTCTATGAGACAGGCCTCATTAAAGATCTACTGATGGTGTGACAGATAAGACTCAGCGCTCTCCTCGTACACATGCCCAAATATGGTCACTATGAAGTTATACAGCGTACTTACACTATTTGTTCTCCCAAAACGTCCTCCTACTCCACTGGATTAAATAGCAGGGGTTTCCTCACTTCCATTTTCAACCGTTAAAATTAACAAACTGTAACAATTAAGTAGAATTTCAAAAGGCAGTGGTGCTTGTTGTACCCTGGGTCATGATGGACTCCTCCAGCCTTCATCATGAAGTTTTATGAGCAAAGATATGAGGTGAGTGACACAAAGTGATATAGCTCTGTCATCAAAAACATCCTCTACAATTATGGCTGCAGTGCTATCCATCCATCCATCTATTTTCTTCTGCTTTTGGATTTCCTTCACCTTGAAAACTTCCTCCAGCTACTCCAGGTGGACCCCAAGGCATTCCCAGGCCAGCCCAGAGACATAGTCCCTCCAGCTCGTCCCAGATCTTACCCGGGACCGATGCTCTCCCCTCCCGGATAAGCGGCTCTACTCCGAGCTCCTCCCGTGTGACTGAGCTACTCAACCTATCTCTAAGGAAGTGCCCAGCCACCCTGTGGAGGAAAATCATTTTGATCGCTTGTATCCACGATCTTGTTCTTTCAGTCATTACTCAAAGCTCATGACAATAGGTGAGAGTAAGAACGGAGACTGAGCGCTAAATCAAGAGCTTTTCTTCACCACTACAGTTTGATACAGTCAATCCATGTCAGTCTCACTCTCCATCCTTCCCTCACTCATGACCAAAATCTTGAGATACTCATGTACTGTACTTGAACTAATACTATAACTAAGGTTTGGGTTCCACTTATTAGACATTTTCCCTCAGAGTTTGACCCATCTTTCAGTACTGCTAGGGCCACCTGTCAAGAGCACTGACTTTATATTGCAGTATCCGCAACCCCAGTTCTCCCATATGAGTGACTGTTGTGCATTTTTTATGTCATAGTAGACTCTGGCTCTAGACTCTACACTCCAGCCCATCTACTCTGTTTCAATCCTGAACACATCTACAGCATGAAACATTGTACTGTCAATGTATATATTTATTGTATTTTTTTATGATGTTTGTGTATTCTGCATTGTGTATGTCTGAAGTACTGCAAATAAGAATGACCTTCTGTCTGGTACAAAGCATCTCATCAGTGTTCTGTAGATTAAAATAAGCAAAATTAACACAACACCCTGAGGTTTGTGTTTTACTGTAATTTTGTTTAAAACTTGTGAGGTGATAATGGGGCTAAACTTATATGCATGCTGCTGAATATAGTATCAACTATTATACTTTTAAAATGTATTTAGTTGCAGAATACTGAATACCTGCATTCAAATGTATTTTGGAATGTATCCAGTTATATGGAGCGATCAGAGTACTGTATTATGATTATTCTGAATACTTTTACACCGAGTTCCATTCTTCTATAGTAAAAAAAAAAACATGACGTATAATTATAAACTACTTTATTTTAGTTTGTTGTACTTTAATGTTTAATCAGAGACAGAAAAATCACCAAAAAAGAATCACGAGTCAAAATTGCATGATATAAAAACTTCATCTATTCTCTTTAATTTAGGAAAGTATGTGTATTCTGTGCAGAACGATGAATGAAAAAGTAACTGTAAAATACTGTTGCTCAAAATAAGTATTCAGAATATGTATTTTTGGTACATGTATTCAGTTACTTCTATAGTATGTAACTTTCTTAGTGTATATGTGTCCTGTTTTTACCCTATATCTGAAGTAGGTGTATTTATTCCGTTTTTTGTTCCAGTTTATCAGGTGAAATCAGCAGAAAGCAGCTCATTCACTTACCTCTGCTCTGGCGTACTGGGATCTTACCTTTTTGGCCTTTAATTCTGCACTTACCGTTTACGAGTGACACATAAAATGGCTGGGAAAATGGTTTCTGTCAGTTTTATGAAAATATAGAGCAGCCATGTCAGATCCTGTTATAGTCAAGTCATTAGTTTCCAAAATGGGTGAATTTTGGGTTTACATCATAATCTATTCTAAAGTCAGTTGTCATTTTAAAAGTTTAAAGGTCCTATATTATGCAAAACTGACTCATGCCAAATTTAAGTTTTAAAAAGCACATGAAAAAGTTAAGAAACACTATCAAATTCAACATGGCCAATTTCACATACACCAAAAACTCCTTAAATTTAAATGCAGTGATAATGCCATACCTTTTTACTGCATATGGTCACAGGCTTGTAAATCAGTTCTCAGGCCTCTAGAATCACTACATAAAAGCGCTCTCAGGACCCGTAACAAGAAAAGTCAGCTATTCCACCACTGTCATATTCTACAGCATTTTGAGTTCTGAAAACCTGATAATGTATGCAAA